AAAATGTAAAACGTGACTTAATCGCAGATCGTCACGCAGTCAAATTCGCGAAAATCGCGAAATTATCAAAATTGCCGGATTAATAAATTATTATAGTACTCGAAAATAGTGCTGTAGGGATGACGCATGAGTGACGCAAGGAGAACACCCCCATGTCATTTATTTTTGATAAAAAATCTCTGCTTTTAAAGACATTAATGTTAAACTGGAATTTACAGTATGTTCAATCGTTGCATATGTAATTACGTTTATGTGCATGATATATCACGTGATATGCGATCTATTTAATTTATTTCAGGATTTCAGGAGAAAAATTATTATTATTTTAAGAAAGAATATTCTAGAGCTACTTATTGGGAATTAAAAAATTCCCATTATTTGTATCCAGAACCGTACTTGAATATCATCGTTCATAATAATTGAACTACAAATTTTAAAATGGTAAATGCTTGTTATTATCAGCCCACCGGCCGATTTTTGATGAGCTAATGAAAAAATGGCCAAATGAGGAAAGTGAATGCGTGCTGGAAAAAATATGTGCGTGATCTCTTTGCCTACTAGGGTAACATATACATACGTCATGAGGCATTTTTGCGTAGAATTAATAGGCAAAAATATCTCATCACGTAATCATTAAAATGGGCAAAAATTTCTCATCGTAATGCTATACTATTCACAGAGAAAAATAGACTCGTAGTTTACACTATACTGCATATCAATATAAACATTGCCGAATTGATTACAAATTTTAATTCTAAATGTCATTGATCAATATGTGCATAACAAGTATAAATGACCGGGCGGTTAAGGGAAAAATGCATCGAAAGTACAAAGCAACGAAATTTTGCATCATACATTAATAAAGAAAAAAAAATGGCAAATATTATTAAAGCAAATATATCTTTGTCGGGAATGAGTTGTTCAAGTTGTGTCAGGTCTATCGAGCAAGCTTTAAAAAAACTTCCAGGCGTTTCGATCCCTTCAGTCAGTGTTAATCTTCTTACGAACAACGCTGTCCTTGAATTCGATAAATCAAAGACCTCCATTGAACAAATCAGGACGTCGATATGTAACATCGGATACGAAGTGAAGGACGTTAACATCGAAGAGCAAATTATAAGGACAAGTGCAAATGACAGCGCGATTAATGTAGTTTCCACCATTAACGAAGCCAAAAACACAATCATCACAAACCTGTCAATAAATGGAATGACATGCGCATCTTGTGTGAACACCATTCAACAAATGGTCGAGTCTCTGCCCGGAGTGGAGCAGACGAGCGTTAATTTACTCACTGCCGAAGCTTCCATAAAACATGATTTAAATCAAATAGGAACGCGTGATGTCATGAAAGTAATAGAAGAGATAGGATTCGAACCTCGCCTATTAAAAAAGAATATCCTCGACCAAGGCGAAAATAACTTGCGAAAACGTTCCGAAAGGGAACAAAAGAAACTTAAGAAACGATTCCTTTTTTCCTTACTTTTTGCCGTACCAACTTTCATTATTGCTATGATTTTTATGCTTGCCTTACCAAGCACAAACAAGATCCGCATGGCATTCGAATATCAATTGACTCCGGGTCTTGAAGTCTCTACCCTAATACTTTTTATTCTTTCCACACCTGTACAATTTATACTTGGCTATCCATTTTACGTCAAAGGAATTCGTTCTGTGTGGTATTCGCGTCAAGCAAATATGGACACACTCGTTGCTGTCGGAACTACAGTAACATACTTCGGATCCTTATTTAATGTCCTAATACCGATCGCTGAGAGGAGAAGCGAATCGAGTAATCAGTTCTTTGAAACCAGCGTGTTTCTCATTACTTTTGTTTGGCTGGGAAGATGGATGGAGGCAAAGGCCAAGGGAAAAACTTTTGAAACCATCACGAAATTGATGGAATTGCAACCGGAAAAAACCACGCTTATCACTATTAATTATGATTCCAAAGGACGTGAGTTTCTTGATGAGAAGGAAATTGACCTAGAACTCATTCAAGGTAAATAATCAACGGTATAAAAAAAAATATCTAATTTCTATGAATTTAATTAACCTGCGTGTTTGATTTTCAAATCGTTTATAGTTGGTGATATTCTTAAAGTCAATCCTGGTTCACGAATACCATGTGACGGTTGGTAGTATTATGAATTGTCTTAACATTGTTTAGAGTTACTCATATTCGAATTAATTGCATCCACAGGGGAAATATTTCGCGGGACGACATCCTTGGATGAATCCATGTTGACCGGTGAATCGATCCCCGTAATTAAATCTGTAGGCGATGGTGTTATCACAGCAACTGTAAATTTGACATCAATGATTTTAATGAAAGCCACACGCGTCGGTTTAGATACAACTCTTTCTCGAATCATCGATCTTGTTCAACAAGCTCAGTCGAGCAAAAAGGCACCAATTGAATCTCTGGCTGACAGAATTGCACAAATTTTTGTCCCTGTAGTGATTACTCTCGCTATCGTTGATTTCATCGTGTGGGTCTTGCTGGGTGCTACAGGAAAAATTCCGGTTGCTTGGTTACCTTCCAATGAAAACTATGTGATTTTCTCTCTCTTCTTTGCTATTTCAGTTATGGTTATTGCTTGTCCCTGTGCTATGGGTCTCGCTTCACCTACCGCTATCATGGTTGGTACCGGTGTAGCCGCTCGCTATGGTATTTTAATCAAGGGAGGTGGTGAGGCAATAGAAAAAGCCTTTCAACTCAACACCATTGTTTTTGACAAAACTGGCACTTTGACTTACGGAAAGCCTCGAGTTATCGACACCCGAATCTTGTATGAAAAGTCAATTTCCGATGAACGTAGCGGACTACTCTTGCAAATTATTGGAACTGTAGAATCTTCCAGCAATCATCCTTTGGCAAAAGCAGTATCCCAGTATGTAAACGAATGTTTGTCCGAGGAAAAACATAGTTATCATGTAACTATTGATTCTGTCACCGAGACCCCAGGAAGAGGCCTTCATGCTACTGTAACAATCAATCACAATATACCACATAATCTCTTGTCAACTGAAACTACCAATAGTATTTCCAATATTTCATCTTACAATGTTTTCATTGGTAACGAACGATGGTTAAACGAGAGCGGCTGCGTTTATCCATCACATCTTACTCACGAACAGGTAGAAGTCTCACTTCGAGAATGGCAGAATTCAGGACATTCGATAGTTCTTGTCGGACTATCCGCAAATTCAAAAAACGATGAACTAAAGCAAGAGAACTCTGGGTATATTTTGGCTCAATTGGGAATTGCGGATATGCCAAGACCAGAAGCGTTGAAAACCATCAGTGCATTAAAGTCGTTGGGAATTGAAGTTTGGATGATGACAGGAGATCACCTGATCACGGCAAAGTCCATAGCAAAACAACTTGGAATTGAAAATGTTCTCGCAGAAGTCACCCCAGAAATGAAAGCTGATAAAATTAAATGGCTACAACGAAGGGGACATGAAATTCATCAGAATAACAAATTTTTAAGGTCCTTTACTTGTCGACGTGACACCGCCGCGAAACAAATACAAAGACCAATTGTCGCCATGATAGGAGACGGAATAAACGATTCCCCGGCATTGGCACAAGCCGATTTGTCAATTTCAATTGCGAGCGCAACGGATGTCGCGATAGAATCAGCTTCGGTAATTTTGACTAGATCGACATTGACATCTTTAATTACCCTGATTTCTTTATCAAAATCCATAATCTGGAGAATTAGGCTAAATTTCATGTGGGCCTATATTTATAACACTCTAGCCATACCAATAGCAGCCGGCGCATTTTTCCCCATATTCAAATATGGACTGAGGCCTGAGTTGGCCAGTTTAGCTATGGTGATCAGTAGTATCAGTGTAGTTTTGAGTAGCTTGCACTTAAGAAATTTTAAAGAACCAAAATATTAAAACATTTAGACTTCGTTTGTGTAATTAATGGACAATAAACAACAGAAAAAATGTTTTACCCCCTCGAGAACTTAAGCTAACTAATTAAATCTGTTATTCTAATACATTTGCAGCACGACCCTTCCTTGGTAATAATATGCTTTTCTATAATTAAAAAAAAAAAAAAATTATTAGACAAAATAATATATAATACGATGCGATTTTAAATTTTGTACATACAATATTTATTTATATTAAATGCAATCTATAAAATAACATTCTAATTTCTTTTTGTGTTATTTTTTAACTGTTAAGACTATATAGTATATATAATTAATTATTGTTATAATAAAAACAATAAAATTAATTTCTAAAAAAGTTATATATAATTTAATTTATACTGTATATACAGTAAATTATTATTTTTTTTATAATACATGTAACCAGATCAGATCATAATTTATTAATCAATTGAATATATAAATATAATTTATTCAAATAATATGATATATATTACAGTTTTTCTCCGCTGATCCACATTTTTTCAAAAAATTTCCTTTTTCTTGAAAAACTCATAAAAACTCTTTTACACAAGAGCAAGTCTTAAAGAATACAACCAAACATTTCCAGGCAACAAAATCTATTTTACAACAACAAAAAAAAAGTTTTGCTTAACTTAAAAACAAATATTCCTAGATCATTTTTACTTTTAGGAAGGAGAAAAAATAAAAACAAACTGATTCACAGTAGGTTTCTTAAAATCCAACCTCAACTCCACAAAGCTTTTAGTCAGACCAGTACAGTTTAATATTTTTTTAGACACTAAGAGAAATCCTAGAAGCAATAGATTACACTGATAAATTAGCATAATCTCAAAGTTAACTGAAATCCAGGAAGATATTCAAGTTTCTTTGGTTAAACAGCTAAAAGATTACAATAATACAACAACTCCAAATTAACTAATTCATATTATACAAACATAAATATGTTGATTTTTTACCTACTTAATATGTATCAAAGCAAACTGATTAATCAATTAACAAAACAATGAGATGTGACAGATTAATAAACTAAAACATGTATAATCAACTAGTACGTATTATCTAAAGCAAGATCAACAGTTGATTACAGCTAATTACATGTTAATAAATAAATATCAGATATATAAACACATATAAGTCACATATCATAGACTTCCTAATATCAATATAGCAATTTATTGCCATATATATCAAATTAAAAAATAATATATAATAGTATTTATTTGATTATGTGGTTAAAAAGACACTCATATAATAATAACATATATTAAAATTTTTATATTATATAACAACATATCAATGAAAGAATAAACAATAATTAGGATTCTAAAGAAAAGAAAAAAAGAGCTATTGAAGGTATTGGAAAAAATAACTTCTTATCAAAATCCTTAATAAGTACTTTGAAAAACAAAGATGATATATCATGAATTAAAACCAATAGTAACTAATCAATCTCATATTCCTATTGAGTCAATACATATTTCTTCGATACTAGATAAATTATTATCAATCTATTGAGAATAGATTCATTGGTGTTGACAAAAGAATATATGCTATAGCAATATATCTTTACTCTCTAGGAAAAGAGACAAGATAAAAAAGAAGATTTAGAAGTATCTATGCTAGAAGAAAAGGTATATAATATATTGATAAGCAAGTCAGTAATATAGGTATCAAACTCTGATTAAGTTGAAATTACTATAATAGAAAGCATTCTAGTGAAAGTTCAATCAACTTTCACAAAACTCAATGAAATGTACTTAACTAACACTAGTCGAAAAAAATTATTCAGCATATTGTTCCTCATGTGACATTCAGTAAAAAATAAACAATTCAGCAAAAAAATAACAAATAAATCAACAACTACAAAAATCGGCATATTAACAATTTATCAAAAAATTTATTAACAATTTGGCAATAATTTACTGTATTAACAATTCGACAATAATTTATTAAAAGTTCATTACAAAATTATTTATTAACAATTCAATAAAAATTTGACATTAATTTATTAATAGTTTGTCAAAAATTTAGCAACTATTCATCAAAACTATTAATTAAAAATTTATTACCTATTTATTAAAAAATCAGTAACTATTTATTAAATTATTCATTAAAGGTTCATTAACTATTTATTAAAAATTCAACAACTATTCATCAGCAATAAAATAAAAAAATTGATAAACTTATGCATAAATTTTTTTGAATTGAAATTATATTTATAAATTATGAATAATACAAACTATAATATAATATAT